TGAGCGACTGCCTCCTGCACACACACTACTGGGGGTTGAGCCCACAACCCAGGCATGTGCCCTGGGCTGGAATCGAACCTGGGACCCTTCAGTCCGCAGGCCGAAGCTTTATCCATTGAGCCAAACCAGCTAGGGCAAAAGTAGATATTTTTTTAAAAAACAACACAACCTTCGCACAGGGCAGAACTTGTCAGCCTAGGGGCACATTTTCTCCTAACTTTCATTTCATTCCGACACTGCATTGTTTTTAAATTCTTTAATAAAAATTTGCAAAGCAAGGAAGTAGCCAACCACTGGAACAAAGAGGGGTGTGTGTCAGGAAATGCATGTAGTCTCTCCCCTGATGCAGATCCGTAACCTACTTTCTGGTAAGGAACACGCGGGTCTTTATACGACTGTAAGAGCCTGGCGAAACTTAGGCTCCGTTAATCCAACTTGTTTTCCATGATAAGGAGAAAGGATATTACATGGCTGTTCCATAGACACTAAGACCCATACAGTAGTTTGCCAAGGTCCTCTCATGAGGATTATTAGTATTTTCACCAAAATATATATATATACTAGTAAACCATATATATATATGGTTTACTAGTATATCCCAGAAACAAACAAAAATATTTGAGTTTTTGAAAGTTTCAAGCTTGGTGTTACAAGTACAGTAAAACCACTTTTACAACCTCAACTAGGTATTTTCAGTGAAACCAATTGTTTCTTAAACTTACTATGTGACTAGCCTTGGGTTCGTCCTAATGTGCACCACAAATTCTCATCACCTCTTCGTCTCGCCATCCAGAACAGGAGGCTGCGTTCCACTACAGTTGTTTAAAAACAAAACTTCAAAACGAGGTCACACGGCTGTTCAATTTTTCTTTTTAGAAAATGGCTGCACAGCAGAATCAGAAAATCAAGTTCAACCACAATCAGCACTGAAAGTGAGTGTGTTTTATTTTCTCCAAACACGTTTGTGAAGGCTGATCGTTTTCAGAATAAATAATTTCTAAGTGTGTTTGGGTTTTCCACAAGACTCTTCACGAAAATGCATTGGAGAGTTAGCAAGAATGGCGAAGACTGTGAGTCACCTGACCGTCCTGGGGTCCCTCCTGCTAAATGGCATCTTTGGGGATATTAACCCAAAATCATAACAATTCAAGCACATGTTCGCCTCCCTCACAATCAATCTCACACCTTGTTAATTGTGTTGCAGGCCCTTCAGCATCAACTGGAATCATTTCAGGCTCTCCGAATACAGACTTTGCAGAATGTCAGCATGGTACGTTTCGCTTCATCTGCACACAGGAAATATCCAAACGAAAACGATCCTCCACATTTCTAACTGATGACCCCTGGCCAATTGATCAGCCAATACAGAATGTAACATAAGAGAGGCCACAACATTTCTAGGCTCAAAATTTGGGGAAAACTATATTCTGTTATATATACTTGGATATGAGACAAAAAGAAATAGCGCTCACTGGTTGTTTTTTAGACTGACTGAATATAGTCTACAGACAGGGACTCTCATTATAAATGATACAAAAGCTGTCATGGCCTGTTTGGCTTAGTGGATTGAGCTTAGTGGATTGAGCGTCACCTGCGGACTGAAGGGTCCCGGGTTTGATTCCCGTCAAGGGCACATGCTGGTATTGCGGGCTCCATCCCCAGTGGTGGGCGTGCAGAAGGCAGCCAATCAATGATTCTCTGCCATCATTGATGTCTCTGTCTCTCTCTCTCCCTCTCCCTTCCTCTCTGAAGTCAATATATTTTTAAAAAATAATAAGTGACACAAAATTTAACCCAAACTGACTAAGGGGGAAAGTGCACTAGCTGGGGTAACTGAAAACCCTAGGGATTTTCCCTCAGGGAAGGCTGAAGTCACCTGATCAGGACTCAGGTCATCAGATAAGTATCTGCTCTCCACAGCAATGGATCCTCAGACTCCAGGCAGTGACGGAGGGGCTGCCAGGAGTTCATACCTTTCTCCCCCCAGATCCCAGCCAGTCAGAGCGGGGACCACCATGCTTTTCCCTCTTCCTGGTTGGTTGATCCTGAGGTTTCTCGGCCTGATTCTGATTGGCCCAGGTCCGGTCACATACGGTGCTGGAACCAGTCACGTGCCAGGGGAGGCAATGCTCCCACTGGTTAGGGCTGAGCCGCCTACCATGCCTGGAGCTGGAGGTGGGATCCGCGTCACCAACACTGCATGGACTTTATCCAGAAGGAATGCAGGGTAGTGTAAAGAGGAGGTTTGGGTATGAATTGGGGGTGCAGAACACATTATTCGCTGAAGATTCGATATAAACTTCACCCCAATATTCTTGTACCAAAAGCAATTGCAGGGGAATGGGAAGAGAAGATGAAACCCCTGAGAGTGACAGACTAGGTTCCATTCTGATGTCAGAGGTCAAAGGAGTAGACCTCTGATACAAAGGTCTCTGATGCATTCAACAATGTAAAAAATCAAACATCTAAAACTATTTGAATATACTGCGTAAGTCTTTCTAATTTTATAATCACATAATAAGGGGATCATTTTATTAAAGACTAGGGGCCCAGTGCACGAAATTCGTGCACTGGGTATGGCGGGGGGTGGGGAGTGTCCCTCAGCCCAGCTTGCCCCCTCTCACATACTGGGAGCCCTCAGGCGTTGACCCCCATCACCCTTTCAAAGGCACGTTGATCTTTAGACATTTTCTGTCGATGACACCTCAGTCTTTCGGCCTCAGAGTGACGTTTTTCCAGTAGCTGTTCTTCAGATACATTCTGTTGCAGACGG